GATCTATGAAAACTAAAGAGATTTGGCTTCGATGGGAAACTTCCAGGGAGTACCATGATCATAAACTGGACCAGAAATCAAGATAATTATGGAGAGAGACAAACCAGTTCTAAATTGTTAACAAGAAAACTGTTGTATATAACATGGTAGACTGTTTCTTCCTAACGTACGTGTCTTTTTCTTTTTCTGTTTCCTGCTTTTAGAAAGGTAAGCATTCCAGAATCACTGGGAGTTGGGTGGTCTCCAAATCCAATAAAATAAAACAAAACATGGGTGTATCCATGAAGTCCTCAGGAGTCAAGCTTGACTTGAAGGACCTTTAAATAATTCCTTGGAAGTGATATGAAATAAGATGTTTCACTCAGGGAGTTGCCTGGGGTGACAATGTAGCCTATTGTAGCCTGTAATGCAAGTAGTACTAGAAATCAGGGGGAAAAAATTCATGAACACAGATAACATTTTTAAGGGCTGTTTACTTAGTCAATGTGGCATTGGTTTTTAGAAAAATGGGTATTTATATCTTATGGCACCCTCCTGTGGTTTTTCTCGTTAAGCTCATGGTTTCTTCAGACTTTGGGGGATTGTTCTTCTGCAGTTTCCAGCCAAGTGTTGTAGGACAGGATTGTGATACAAGTTATATTAGTAACCCCAGAAACAGCCTCCTCATGGGAAGGTAGAAGGAATTGGTTGAGAATTCTGATTCAACACTGCTTCTTTCAATAAAATTGTAATTTGACTTTGCTATCTCCTGTTTTCACTCTGTGCCTAGAGGCAATATGGTCAAATAAGTTTTTTTTAACATAACAGTAACATCATGGAAGTATAACAGAGAAGAAAAGTTTCAATTCATGTATATGCTTTGTTTGTTTGTTTGTTTATTTATTTGTTTCCTCTGTTACTGCCCTACTTCCTTCTAGCATGATCAAGACAATTCACAGACACATATGTATTTCAGGAAATAAGAGGCCAAAATAAGACACAGGAAAAACTTAGTATGCTTCCAATAATTTGAATACATCTCATAAATAAGTTGGTTTTTTATCCCATCATATTTCCTTCACCTCATACTTGAAATGAATATGTACTAATCTCAGAATGAGAAATATTTTCCAGAGGTGTGCATACATATAACAGATTTATATACTAAGGAAGGAAAGCCTTGTGGTTATTCATATAAGCTCCTCCTTCCTATCTTTGCAATTCCGGGTCTTCTGTTCAGCTGAAGAGTGAAGACTCACATCAACTACAAAAGAAGACCATCCAGGCAGTGGTGGTTGTGCAGGCATGCTGTGAGGAATTGTGGTGTCAGGATACATCAGAGAGAGGTGAGCATTTTAAAGGAAGTGGGAGCAACAGAATCAGCATGACAACAGAAGATTCTGACAACCCAAGAAAGAAGTTGGCATGTTGAGTGTCCATGGGCCAAAGGAGAAGGGTCAGTAGATGTGAAATGGCATTCAGGAAGGTAGCTGAAGACACTCATGAGCAGCTCATTCATCATGTACATCATCAGATACTGCAGCTCATGAAAGTGTACGCTTTTTAATAAAATCTGTAAGTAAGAAAAGATGCTACCAGACTCTTCCTGATTTTTTCCAAAATGAAACCTAATCTCTCCCACTCCTGCATTATAGTACTATAAGCTACATGCATGAAATTCTGAAAAAGATAATAATCATGACCTTTCATAACCTCAAGGCTACTTTTTTGGATGGAGAAGACTGTGGGTGCTAATTATGTTTGTTCCTTATTGAAAAACATGGAACCCAGCTATTGTCCCTAATATAAGATATAATGTGAGACTATGGTGGAAAAATCTTTCATAAATCATGGCACTCCGTGACTTATGTTCATGTTTTCATCCTCGTGAACCGAAGTAAGTTTTTCAGAATCAGGCAAATGGAGTGTGGGGGACATTCCTATGCATTCCATTAGCCTTGCCTATTCAAAATCTTCTTGTCCTCTTCTCCTTCTGCTGTAATCTGTAAGTCCAATTTTCTGGGATGGCAGCGAGGGAGGAAGCCCAAGTTGCGTAAATAGATTACTATTTAATTAACTCTGTATCCAGACCAATATTCTTATAATCTTTGGGTTCTGCAGGAAACTGTAAGAACTTATTTTTAACCGTGCAAGATGCAAATACTTAGTTTTATATTTTATGAAGTAGTTGCAGCTAAGGGTTTAGGAAAACAATTCCTGCTGGGTAAATGCTTTTGAATTTTATTTAACCAAGCTTGGAATACAGTTTAAAAAATAATTTAAAACCAATAGTAATATTCCTTTAGTCAAATCTAATTTGAATGTACTATTTAGTTGTTGAGCCCCGTAAACCTCAAGTACAATGACTATATTAAAGTTGAAATATTAAATCAATATTAAACTTGAAAGGCTCTTCTAGGATCAGTCTGCATCCCTCATGCCTAAACTGTTTTTACCATGCAAATGGGAAATTGAACATAATAATATGGAATGAAATAAAGCAGTTTCTGTTGCAGATGATCCACTTGAGGCATTAACTGTTGTTGATTTCAGAACCCTTTTGAATAATGCATCCAGTGAAGAAGCTAAGAAGCTGACGACAGTTCAGCCAATCCTGGAATATAGGGGTATTTCCATGTTGTTCCATGTAAAAACCTTTCCATATCCTAAAGATTCTCAATAACTATGCCACCCTAATTTGAGCCAGCAAATGAGTTGGGACAATATAGAAAGGAGACAAAGCTATAGAATGCCAAAATTGGAAAGTTTCGGTCTATGAGAAGATGCAATGGACTCATCATTCTTTGGATCTAGGAAAATTTGTCTGATATGATCTTCGTAGTGAGTTCTTTTTTTTTTGCACCGGGGAAGGCACGTAATACAATAGTAGCTACGATGGGAAGACTGTTGGCTTTTGGCAACTCCTACACAACTTTGGCTGTAGGCAAGAAAGGAAAGTTGAAAACATCCTGAAAAAAGGCATGGCAAATCACTTTGGTATTGTTACCAAGAAAACAACATAAATATTTCCACATGGAGTGGGGTGTGGCTTGTTTCAAAGATATCTTTGAATCCAAGAAGGTTCATCTGGTATGATTTTCATGGTCTTTTTTGGCACTAGGAGAAGACATTTTTATTCACCCAGGCTTTTAAAAAACTGTTTATCTAGCACTATGTGCTTCTCAGCTTATAACATGATTTAATTTTGGTAGTTTTTATTCTGTGCATTTTAATAACATGTGACCCCTTATTGAATGTTGTGTCCCTTTTATCTGTCTTTGCTGGTCTCTGAAATAACATATACAAGGGACAAAGCATAGCAAATTATTTTAAAGGATTATTTGGTGGTTTAACTACTCTTATTCATTACATAGCACTGCAAATTGCCAGCAGTCAATCTAGGAATTTACTGTAGTAAATATAAAATTGGCAACAATTACTAAGGCTATGCAAATATTTGATTAGAAGATTCAGTCCAAAGGCAATTCAGAGGTTTTATTTGTTTGTTTTATTGAAAACTTGTTAGTGACGATATAGAATGCCTAACTTGTCATGGAGAGCATGAATTCTAATAAATACTTAACGCTAGGCAGTATGTGTGACCTCCATAAATGTGTTTGCTGATTATGCAAATGAAACTGTTTCAAGAAATGTTACATATATACATATATGCATATACGTATTTTTATTACGGTCCATTATCACATTAGAGCACAGCTTCATAGTGGAAGAAGAGAATTCAAAAGTAAAAGTAAAAGTAAAGAGAAAATGTAAGATAAATAAAAAAAGGAAGGGGAGATTGAAAGACTTAAGTACAAAGGTGGCTCTAAAATACTTGGAAGAATCTAATAGCTGAATTGAACCGTATTCCTTTATGCAAGGGTATTAAAAACTGAAATGGAGATTTAATAACTACTATAAACAGGGGTATCAAGATAGTAGCTTTGACCACATGACTCAAGTTCTGTCCGCTTTAGGTCTCAGCCGCCATTTTTTAAAATCCCACTGTGGAAGTTCCTGACTATAAAATTTAATTCATTAAAAAATATCTTAGGTGTATCTTGTAAAATGTGAGAGTAGAAATGGTTAAGGCGAAAATCATTCTGCGCATGGCAAAGGAAGTAAAACATAAATGATCAGGCAATGCATAAGAAACTACAGTAGGAAACCTGTTGGGTTTTGGTGACTCTTGGTCAACTCTGGCTGCAGGCTCGAAGGGAAGTTGGAAACATCCTGAAAGAAACGAATAGCAAACCATTTTTGTATTATTGCAAATAAAGCAACACAAACATCTTCATGTAGCTACTAAGAGTGTGGCATGACTAGAAGGTGCCTTTTCCTGTTTGTCTGTTGATTTACTCATGTAGAGGTATCCACAGAGGGTAAAAAAAAATCCACATGGCAACCGTGACTGTGCCCCTTTTTTATGTGCATCCTGTGTAAAATGGGGTAGGACTTCGATCTCATAACCATGGTTTCTGACCTGTGAATGCCTCTGTACTCATCGCATTAGCAAATACTGTATATAAAACCTGCACTTATTCTGGTTGAACCAGAGTTAATGTGGATCAGTAACAGATAACATTTAAACTGAACTGTGAATGTTCCTTTAATGATGTATAAATGACAGTACTTTTCCCCCCCTTCTGTTGTGTTTACATAGCTGATCATAATACCGCTTTGCTTTTTTAAGTCCTCTATGGAAATTTGGGGTTTTTAGGTGATAAAGACCTTCCCAGTTTCCCTGGACAAGAGACTCATGGATGAACCGCTTCTGTGTGTGGCAGAGACAACCGTAAACATGTATTTTTCTTTGGCAGTCAACAGCCTGCATTTTCTTGCCACATTTCATGGCAAAACCATTTGCCCCTCTGAGGTATATGTCTCAAATTTGGCATTGGTGCTAAGCACTAGGCTTAATGTTGCTCCTCAGTTGATAACAATACTCTTCCATTCTTACTTTTACAAATCTTGGCATCCTGAGCTATATGTACTGACAGGCATTACTGTTTCTTTTTCAGAACTACCATATGGCTGGGAGAAAATTGATGATCCCATTTATGGCACTTATTATGTTGAGTAAGTTTTCAAACCATTATTAATTGCCTATTAATCTTGTATAAACTGTTGTTAATGTCCCATGTGGCACTTCAGGTTGAAAAGAAGCAGCCCACTGTGGTTTTCTTTTTCCTGTACACCTTAAGATGTGACAGAAAATAGAGGGCCCAACTGAAAAAAATAATAATAATAATAATAGCACTCTTTTCAAGAGTGTTTTCCATAGAAAAGAGTTACCTTTTTTTGTAGTCGTGCCATCCCATATTATTTATTTATTTATTTGATATGGTCACCCAGCTCAAACATTGTGACTCCAGGCAGCATGCAGTAAATAGGTTGAATCCAAAGCAAAGTGAACAACTTCAGTTAAAATCCAAATCATTAATAGGTGATCAGAAAATCATAGATAGATAGGTGATATAGAGAGATAGCGATAGAGATGATAGAGATAGAGATAGAGATAGAGATAGAGAATTGTTCTCCAGATGTGAAACTCCAGTCATAATGGCCCCAAAGTCTGAGGAAAAAGCCAGTTTTTACTGCCTTTCTGAAACAAGGCCACCCATATCTCAGGGTTAGGGTCATTCCGGAGATCATTCTAGAGGAGAGGTGCTTCAACAGAAAAGGCCTTCTGGGCCCCATCAGCTGGTGTTGTTTCAGGGAAAGGTCCCAAAGTGTGCCCATCTTATCAAAGCATGTGGGATGGGCAGAGATCACTGGGGAGAAGCATTCCTGCAAATAACCCAGTTCTGTGCCACATAGGATTAACGATTATCAGCATCAGTTGTCATGTACTGCATGAGGGCCTTTTCAGCTGTAGTACCAAATTGTGGAATTCCCTCCCCAGATGCAAAATTTCCAACCATCCTGGAAAAGGCAGTGGTGAGCCACTTCTGTATTTTTCCTAAGAAAACAACACAGATGAGACTTTGAAGTCATTAGGGGTTGAGTTTGGCTTAAGGGAGATTTTTACCTTATTTCTGAATAGACATGTGTTATACGATTGGGCTATTTATCATTCTAATGTGAATTTAAAAGACATTATTTTGCTAAGTGTTTGGTCTCATTTCACTTTTTTTTTTTTATTCTGCACACATTATTGTGTTTCTTTGTAATTTTGTGTTGTTGTGTTTTTTACTCTGTGAGCCCCATCTTACAGAATCTTGTCTATTGAAAGACAGGATAGCCCTGAGACACTAAGTATATTTTGCACCGCCACATGCTGTAAACAGTTGGATCTTCTAATAATTCTGCCCCCATCTTTTTCCTCAAATCTTAGACAGAAAAGTGTTCATATTATACATGGAAACTCAACACAGTCCTCAAAGTGCCTTAAGGAAGCCATAGGGATCTTTTCAACTAATGCTGCAGACTCTGAAGCTCCTTTGGAAGAATAATGCTGTTTTTCAGTGTGAATCTTGAAAATGCTTGCCTTTTGCTCCCAGGGAAAAAAAAAGTAATTTAAGTGCCATTGGCAGCTCAACTATGTCATCAGAAAGCTTCTGCTGATAAGTGGAGCAGAAGAAAAATTCTGTAAATGAAATAACTGAAAAGGGGCAAGGGTTGAGAGTTGTTAATGCAATTCTATGCTGAGGTAACCTCTTCCGTGGAATTAAACATATTTTACAATTATACTATATACATTTAAATAGGATTGTTGAACCTGAATTAGTAGTCGCAAGCAAAGCATGATATAATTTTTTTTTTTTATCATGCGGTTAGATGAAAAATATGCAGTTCAAGAAGGAAAATATGCAGTTCAAGTTATCCAAAGATTTTATTATGTTATGTGATGTTAAAAAGTGAGAAATAATGACACTGAAAGTTAGATGAATAACCCTCTGGAATTCCAGAGGATGATCAAATATATTTATTCTTCTTTCCCTTGCCAATAATTTTCCCTGTGGAAAATATGTACAAATGTTTCAAAGATGAAATAATTTCAGAACATTTGGGCCCCCTAGATTGGGGTTGCTTTTACCTTTGGTCTTGGACGGGGTTACATGTCCCCATTCAAGACTTGTGCAGAACTTGGGGGTCCTCCTGGACTCACAGCTACTGCTGAAAGAGAAGGTGGCAGCTGTGGCCAGGAGAGCCTTTCCACAGGTTAACCTTGTGTCCCTGTTGCACCCTTTCTTAACCAGGAGACCTGTCAGATGGTCATCACACCCTAGTCACCATGTGATTGGACTGTTGCTGTGGGCTCTACAGTGCTGCTCTTGAAGACCTTCTGGAAGCAACAGTTGGTCCAAAATGCAGCATCATGGGCAGTAATAGGTGCTTCTCATTGTTCCCATGTGTCATTCCTGCTGCATGGGCTATACTGGTTGCCAGTTGGCTTGCAATTCATGATCCTGGTCATCACCTATAAAGCCTTTCATGGCATATGGCCTGGTTATTTAAGGGACTACTTGTTTCCAGTTGTTTCTGCCTGCGTGGTACATTTGCACAGAGTAGGTGCACTCCAATCCCCTTAATTAAATGTTGCCATCCTGTAGGACTGAGGAAGCATGTCTTCTCTGTTACAACCCTGCCATCTGGAAAAGTATCATCTCCAGAGAGACATACAGCTCCCACTCTCCAATGAATGAAACAATCAATGATTCAAAGCTAGTTTTCTGTAGGATAATCACCATTCCCAGCTACCAATCAGCCAGTACTTCCCAAGAAGCCACCTTCTCAGTCACCAACTCACCCACCACCACTGCACCCCAAATTCCAATTTCACACCGACTGTAAATACTACAAGGCAATCCTCACCTCTGAACCATTGTACTGAGGAAGCCTCACTGGAATGTGAAGCGGAATGTCTCCAAAAAACATGATCTCTTGATCACCCTAAGCCCAAAGAACCCTAACCAAAAGTATGTACAACAAACCTACCACTATTCCAAGAAACCCTAAAAGCAGAATTATGGAAAGCAGTTGCAAGTGTCAAACAGCAGCGTCTTCTGCAAGACTCATGACACTGTTGTTGACATATTGGTGGGAGTGAAATGAAGTGTGCACATAAGCACAGGCATTTATTACTTGTGGCTCCATTAGAATATCCTCTGCCTAATTAATGAAATTGCAGCCTGGAAAAAGTATAGGGCTTTATTGCTGTTGCTCTTGTTTTCTGAGTGAGCATATCAGACAGTTTTTCAGTCATTCTCTCGGTTTCATTTTGTCCTAGGAATTTATACACCATTGCATTGTTTCTCACAGTAGGGCTAACTATGTGCAAAGAGTTCCTGCACTGATTTAAAAAAATAAATAAATGAAAGGAGGGGAGAATTTGGAACTGAAATATGGAAGGAGAAAAAAAGGTGATGCTTAAAACTCTCCACCATTTATTTCTTCTTTTCAGATTTCATAGCCTGAGAGGTTTAATGGTGGATCCATCAGGATACCTGGTAGCTAGAATTGCAATCACAGGAGAATATAGGGGAACTTCTGCTGACTAGTTTCCCTCTTACCTACCATTTTTTCTTGACTGTCTAATTTTAGGGTGGAATTCGGTTTCTCCTTCCTTCCTTCCTTCCTTCCTTCCTTCCTTCCTTCCTTCCTTCCTTCCTTCCTTCCTTCCTTCCTTCCTTCCTTCCT